TTTTTTTTTTTTTTTTGCCATTAATCTAAAAACACATTATTTTTCTCTCTGCATTGGGATGCTCACCTTAGAGCCATGTCCCTGATTTGGTTTCATAAATAATTTAAAGCCAAAGCTCATAATCTATGTTAATGTAACCATCCAAATGTGAGTTAATATATCATTCCTATCTGTAATTAGATACAAATAGAGGTCTATTAAATGGGTGATAATGTTTTTAGTGTTTTTTTTTAATTTTTTTTAACATTTATTTATTATTGAGAGACAGAGAGACACACAGCATGAGCAGGGGAGGGGTAGAGAGAGGGGAAGACACAGAATCTGAAGTAGGCTGCAGGCTCTGAGCTGTCAGCACAGAGCCCGATGCGGGGCTTGAACTCACGAACTGTGAGATCATGACCTGAGCCGAAGTCAGTTGCCTAACCAACTGAGCCACCCAGGTGCCCCTTTTTAGTGATTTTTGAGTAATAATTATGAAGTAAACTTGAGTGGTTGGTAATATAGCCCCTACAATCACAGAGTTAGGAAGCTTGAAAGAAATTATCAGAAGCATAATATTGAGGAATGCTATTCCTCTAAACTCTGTGGCATTATTTTGAAGTTAAAACAACAACAAGAAAAGATACCAGACATTGTTCAGATTTTACAACCAGGAGCCAGGCTTAGACAGTACTTCCTTATATAGCCACCTTTAATACTATTGGTTTTTTCTAAAAAATCAAAAATTCTTTTCTTTTTTGAAACTAGTCCATATATTTTGATTGAATAATGCAGGCACCACAATTCTTACTTTATTCTAATACCCCTGTATCAGTTTGGGCTTGGGTTTGGCTGTAAATCACAGAGACCCAAAAACAAAAACCATAGGTTGGCATGTTGCCCAGGGTGGCAGGGACCCAGGTTTCTTTTCAATTGTTGCTATGTCATGGATTCAGTTCTGGTCCTAAGTTCCCTTCAAAGTCCCAAATGGTCGTACCATTCCAGCTCCAGTAATCACATCCACAGTCCATCTATCAGGAAGAATAAAGGGAAGAGAAGGGCACATTCTCTCCAAACGTACATCATGGTTGCCACTTCAGCGTTGTGCTGGAGATTCTAGCCAGAGTCATTACGTAAGCAAAAGAAAAAAACATAGCATCCAGATTGGAAAGGAAGAAGTAAACTTTCTTTGCAGATGACATGAACTTGTATATAGAAAACCCTAAGGAATCTACGATAAATAAATAAACAAAAGCTATTAGAACTAATGAACAAGTTCAGTAAGATTTCAGGTTACAAAGGATTAATATACAGAAATTAATTGTGCTTCTTGACACTAGCAATGAATACTCCAAAAATGAAATTTAAAAAGTTCTATTTGTAATACCATCAAAAAGAATGAAATACTTAGGAATAACATTAACAAAAGAAATGCATGCCTTGCACACCGAAAACTACAAAACCTCATTGAAATAAAGATCTAAATAAATGCAAAGACATTCCATGTTCATGGATCAAAAGAGTTAATATTGTTAAGATGATAATCCTCCCCAAATTGGTAGGTTGAACACAGTTACTATCAAAATATCCCAGCGTGGTTTTTTAGGGCCAAAAATTTGACAGGCTGATCCATAAAGTTCATATGGAAATACAAAGGACCCAGAAAAGCCACAACAGTCTTGAAGAACAAAGTTGGAAGACTCACATTCCCAATTTTAAAACTTATTACAAAGCTACAGTAATTAAGACATTCTGGTACTGGCATGAGGATAGAAATACCCTTACATTTAAGATGAAATAAACCCTTACATTTAGAAATAAACCCTTACACTTACGGTCAATTGATTTTTCGACAAGGAGACAAGACAGTTCAATGAAGAAAGTTTTCAATTGGTGCTCAGACAGCCGGATATCCACATTCGAAGGAATGAAGATGGATGCCTACTCACAACATGCACAAAAATTAACTCAAAATGGATCACAAACGTAAATATGTAAGAACTAAAGCCCATAAAATGTAGGCATAAATCTTCATGACCTTAGGTTAAGGCAACACTTTTTCACATCAGACACCAAAAACACAAATGACCAAAAAAAAAAAAAAAACAAAAAAACAAAAAACAAAAAACTTCAAAAATTTTTTAATGTTGTGGTCCAAAGGACACTAGCAAGAAAGTGAAAGGACAGTCCCTGTAATGAGAGAAAATGTTGGCAAATCATGTATCTGATAAGAAACTTGTATGCAGATTATACAGAAAACTATTAAGAATTCAACAGTAAAGATAAATAAACAAATTTAAACTTGGGCAAAGGATTTGAATAAACATTTTTTCCAAAAAAGATAGAGGAGTGGCCAATAAGCACGTGAAAAGAGGCTCAGCATCGCTCATCATTTGGTAAACACAAATCAAAAGGACAGTGAGACATACGTCACAACCACTAAGATGGCTATAATAAAAAGATGGGTAATACCATTAAGTGTGGGAGAGTATGTGGAGAGATTGGAACCCTCATTCTTTGCTGGTGAGAATGTAAAACAGTGCAGCCAATTTGGAAAACAGTCTGGGAGTTCTCAAAAAAGTTAAATATAGAGTTACCACGTGACCTAGCAGTTCTACCACTAGGTATATTTCCAAGAGAAATGAAAACACGTCCACACAAAAACTTGTACACCCATGTCCATATCAGCAGCATGCTCTAACTACCAAAACTGTAAACTGTCCAAATGTCCATCATCTGATGAGCGGATAAATAAAACATGATACATCCATACAATCAAATACTATTTGGCCAAAAAGGAATGAAGTGCTGATATATGCTACAACATAGATGTACCTTGGAAACATTATGCTAAGAAGCTGGGCACAAAAGGTCACGTTTTATAATTCCATTTATATGAAATGTCCAGAATGGGTAAATTTATAGACAAAGAATAGATTAGTGGTTGCCTCAGGCTGGGCTGGGGGAGTAGGAAATGACGTAATGGATATGAGGTTTCTTTTGGGGTGATAGACATAGTCTATAATTAGATTGTAGTGTTCGCACAACTCTGTGAATATACTGAAGCCATTGAATTATAAATTTTAGTTAGTGAATTTTCTGGCATATGAAAGCTATTTTTAAAAAATACATCTTGGGGCGCCTGGCTGGCGCAGTCGGTTAAGCATCCGACTTCAGCCAGGTCACGATCTCGCGGTCCGTGAGTTCGAGCCCCGTGTCAGGCTCTGGGCTGATGGCTCAGAGCCTGGAGCCTGTTTCCGATTCTGTGTCTTCCTCTTTCTCTGCCCCTCCCCCGTTCATGCTCTGTCTCTCTCTGTCCCAAAAATAAATAAACGTTGAAAAAAAAAAATTAAAAAAAAAATAAAAAATACATCTTGGAAGTTGCACATTTCCACTATATCCTATTGACTATTACTTAGTTAACAGTGTTATACCTACTTGCTATGCAGGTGGGAACAGTATTCTGTATTCTGGGCAGCCATGTGCCCAGCTAATATAAGGGGATTATTACCAAGGACAAGGAGTGAGTGAAATATTGGTGGATATCTAGTAATTTCTGCCACTTTCTAATTAGAGTTGAATCGTGACAGAAAAACTGCTACAAGTTCTTCTCATTAAGTCAACATTCTTGATGAAAAGCTTCCTAGTAGCCTGAAATAATAACCTGGGTTTTTAAAAAAATTTTTTAATGTTTACTTATTTTTGAGACAGAGATAGCACGCAAGCAGGGGAGGGACAGAGAGAGAGGGAGACACAGAATCCGAAGCAGGCTCCAGACTCTGAGCTGTCAAGCACAGAGCCCGACATGGGATTTGAACCAGAGCCGAAGTCAGATGCTCAATCGACAGAGCCACCCAGGCCCCCCAGTAATAACCTGGTTTTTTAAAAAGGCTTAAATACAAAATGAAGTCTGAGAAAATAGAATTGCCCTTAATTCTTTATGGTGAAATGAAGACAAAGAGGAAAATACCTTTAATTTCATCTGATAGCTCAATGTGTCAATTTGTGGGAACTTAATAGTTAAATGACCATGTCAAATAATCATCAGTGATGCTTTTACTGATACCAGCTGGGTGTATGACCCTGGGCTGGTAAGAAAACAAGAAAAGTCCTTGCCACCCAAAAATGTCACAGTCTAATTGGAGAAATACAATGTATATCCATAAAATGCTAAATAACACAGGCTACTTTTTAATTACTGCAAAATGCAAAAACTATATAAAAAAGCAGACAATACATGCTATGCAAGTGTCATAGCCAGAGAAAATCCTGTAACGTTAGGTATCTGAGGATAATAATAGTAATCACACTTTTGGAGAGCTTACTATGTGGCTAATGCACCTGATAAGTTTTATCTTGCCCCCTTCTCACAATAGGTGCAAGAAAGGAGTCCCCGGTGGGTGATGTCTCCCCAGGGCCTGTGCACTTAACTGCCTTGGTTGTGCTCTGAACCTGGGCTGCACAATAGGATACCCAAGGAAATTTCAGGACATGCAGGTCTCTGGACTTCACTGAGAGATTCTGGTTTCAGTGGTGGATGTGTTGCCCTTCCCCTCCCGGCCACTAGAGTTTTTACAGGTCCCCAGAAGATTACAAGGGCTGTGTGGCCCAGGGTCAGAGCCAATGTCTTCCTCAGGGCTGCAGGTTCCTCCCCTGACACACAGAGGCAGGACTAGAGAAGCAGACATGCTCTCAATTGAGAAGTGTTTAGAACTGGACAGCAGCTAAGCTCAAGTAATGCTGTTGTCTACTGTTCCCACCCCACATCCATCCACAAGGCTTTTCTCTGTTCCACAAGATGCATCTTAGCGGTCATAAGATGCCATCGCCTAGAAAAGGACTGTCCTGTTGAAGCGGATGAATGTGGAGATGCAGGTGTGTGCCCGTCATCGGAGGATCGTTCTGTTGTTCGGTATTTGGAGTAGGGGACGGTTATAGGTGGCTAAAATTATTCATTGTGCCTGCCCAGGGGTATGATAACTCATTGTCCTTTGTATTCTTGGTGTCTGTGCCAGCTTTATTTTTGTTTGCTCTTTTCTATGAGTTTTGAGAAGCTCTTATCAAGTGACTTCAGATACCTGTATTTGATTAATACCTATGCCTGATCCTTCCTGTCCTGTCCTTCTCTTTCTTATAAATACTTCAGCCATTAGGCTAAAAACAGTTTCTTTTCTTCCTAGAGCTTTCTTTTCCACAGATTTCAAAATTATTACCTGTGCTTTAGTAATAAAGCACATAAAATAACCACATCCTCCCTGACCCCTTTATATTTTCTGTCTCTTGATGAGTTACTAATTAGTTAATTCTTTTAGGATTTTCCTTCCCTTCTATTACTTTCTCTTTGGAACACCTTACTGCTTTTTCATTGCAGACAACATTTTAATTTCATGGTTTCATGATTGTTCTTTAACTGTCTTAGAGCAATTTGCTATGACATCATCTCTTCTTCCTCCTTTACCTCCCCACCCCACCCCCCATATCCTTTTTTTACTTACCATGTCATGTCATTTGGATTGTAGTTCTTTGGGACAAAGAACTCTTTTTTTAATTTTTTTTAATGTTTATTTTTGAGAGAGAGAGACAGAATGTGAACAGGGGAGGGGCAGACAGAGGGAGTCACAGAATCCGAAGCAGGCTCCAGGCTCTGAGCTGTCAGCACAGAGCCGGACGTGGGGCTCGAACTCATGAACCATGAGATCATGACCTGAGCTGAAGTGGGACGCTTAACCGACTGAGCCACCCAGGTGCCCCTAGGACAAAGAAACATTATCATAGTGCCATGTTCTCTTCTCACAGTAAATATTGCTTGTTTGGAAAAAACACCTAAGACTTTACATACTGACAGTGTTTGAGGATGCTAAGTAAGCAGCATTAAATTATATCCCTCAGCTTATGGGATAAGATGTAACTAAAAGAATGAGGAAAGGAATTTTTAGTCTACGTCCAAGCCACCTTGGCAAATGCAAGTTTTGTATTTCTGAAGAGGACTTAGAATGAATAGCCTCTGTAACAAAACCTTTGTGATCACTATAATCGGGAGTCTTTGCTGGTGTCGAAGTTTTGTATGTAGATGTTTTAGTTAACGTAGTCTAACCACTGAAACGAAAAAGGAGAACTACAACACATCACTGCCACGACGTCCCAGTCGAAGTTTATTTCTCACATCCCGGCTCAGGGTGCGGAGACGGCACGGGCAGGTGGTTGGCTCCACTGTGTGTCGATTCAGGAGCCCATACTGCCAGCAGCTCTGCTATCTTCAGCTCGCTCTGAGGTCTTCCTTGTAATCAATACTCAGCCCTTGCCTGAGAAAAGAGCATAGAGGATGGTTTGTAGGCATTTTTCATGGGTAGGGACAGAAAGTGGAAAATGTCATTTCTGCTCACACAGGGACATGGCACCCCTTAACTACAGGAGGAGTCAGAAGAAGAGGAAACCTGGCTGGTACTCAGCCCCTGCTGTTGAAGGTATTTTTTTTTTTTAATGGAATGGGAAGGGGGGATTGGAGGAAGGCGGTCAGAAGGTACACACTTCCAGTTATAAGAAAAATCAGTGCTAGTGATGTCATTAACAACAGGGAAGTTGTTAACACAGGAAGAAATGTTTTTTCTTTTTATTGTATCTACATGAGATGATGGATGTTAACGGTCATTTCACAATTTACGTACATCAGACATCAGTCTGTACACTTTAAACTTACATAGTGATGTGTGTCAATTATTTTTCAATAAAACTTTAAAAAAAGAGTTTAAGTTGCAAGAGAAATGCAGTGGTTTGAGTGTATGACTGACTCAGTAGGGTTCCTGTCTACATGAAAAGGATTATAAGATCAAATAAACACATAATTAAAATTAAACAACACTGTACGGGGCGCGCCTGGGTGGCTCAGTCGGTTAAGCGTCTGACTTCGGCTCAGGTCATGATCTCGCGGTCCGTGAGTTTGAGCCCCACGTTGGACTCTGTGCTGACATCTCGGAGCCCGGAGCCTCTTCAGATTCTCTGTCTCTCTCCCTCTTTCTCTCTGCCCCTCCCCCACTTGCACTCTGTCTCCATATCTCTCAAAAATAAACACACAAAAAATTAAACAACACTATTTGTTAACAATGAGGAGGTAAAGTGCTGTGTTGTCACTTGACCAGCTTTTCTTTTAACATTAGTAAAATAAAACAATGCACCACTGCTAAATTAGATTTGTAGTAAATAGTAACAGATACCATAAAACGTATTAATTTACCCATTGTTGATAGATTTAGCTACAACATAAGGAGCAGTTTATATCCAAACAGATAAAAACGATCCCAAGTTCAGTAAATCTGATTCTCATTACACGTGTATTAACAAATCAGATTATTTCAATGGGGCCTCATTAATCAGTCAACAAATACATGAATATCCACCACAGACACGATTCTCCTCACATGCTGAGAAGAGACCATGCTAAATGAGGATAAAGCCATAATTTAAAAAGAAAGATAATCAGCAATATAAGATTATATATTTGCCATGCAAATTGGAAAGTCGGGTATTCTGAGAGTTGAAAGGATTAAAAGTGCATGCCTTCTGTGGAGATACAGCCCCAAATTGCTGACCAAACATGTTACTCTGGTGTGAGATGCCAACACTAAGAAAACGAGAGACAAATGTGGAAAATTAAAAAAAAAACACTTTAATATAAGAGCTGCCAAAATCACAACACAACTTAGAGAATTGTGTAAAATCACACATTTGTTCTTTGTGCCATGAGGATAGCAAAACACCAAACCAACGTGGGTATGTGTCTGTGTTGTTCTCAGCCCAACTTTAATAGAAAACTCATCAGCAGTAAATTGACAGATTTAATATTAAAACATTATACATTGTCATCCAAGTACACTGTGCTTCATATTTAAAAATAAAAAAGCATTTAATAGAAATTTGGATTCTACTGTTATAGACATTATACAACTGTTTGACTTGATTGAGATATATTCTATGTAATTCATATATAAAGGCACTATAGTCATATACTGATTCAGTATATTCAAATATAATCAATTTAATTACAATTTAAACAATGCTAGAATAGGTACAAGCTGCATAAAAACATAAGATTCAGCGCCTATGGGAAAATATTCTAAAATTTTTTTTAATGTTCTTTATTTTTGAGAGCAAGAGAGACAGAGTGTGAGTGGGCGAGAGACAGAGAGAGAGGGAGATACAGAATCTGAAGCAGGCTCCAGGCTCTGAGCTGTCAGCGCAGAGCCTGATGCAGGGCTCGGACCTGTGAACCGTGAGATCATGACCTGAGCCAAAGTTGGACACTTAACTGACTGAGCCACCCAGACGCCCTGTGGGGGAAAATACTCTAAATAAATGTAAACATTATATCTGAATGTTTAAAAAGCAAAATAGAACCATGGGGCAGTGAATCTGGGCCACTCCATGGCATTGCTGTGGATGCTAGTAAGACCAGGAAGTTTAGAGAGGATCTTGTCTATCAGTCTTTATAGTCTTGAATTATCCTTGTTCTTAGTCCTTATAACCGTGGTTCTCAAAATTGACGAAATGTATATAGACCAATTTCAAAAGGAAAAAAATGCCTATAATTCCTGTATAGTTAAATTATTTTTATTATGCCATTTAAACATACATAAACATTAAAATGTCAGAAGTTTATAAATTCGGCATAGAATATTAGCAAAATTACAAAATCGCTGCATTTTAAATGGAAAATATTAGGATTCGTATCAGGAATGCCTTCATGAAAGTGGCATTTGAGCTGGTCTTTCAAAAATGAGTATGATGACTAGTAAGTAAATGAGGATTGGAGATAAGGCTCGGACCAAGGAAAGAAAGCGAGGGGGCCCAGGTGAGTGAGACTGCACTGTATGTGTGGCACAGAGAACAGGTCCTTTGGGCTCTAGCATATGGTGTGGGGATATAGGTCTTCTGTTCTGATGATCTCCCAATATTTTGATGATCTACAATCATGAGGACCTTGAGTATTGAGCCTCATTCTGTATGAATGAGAACCACTAAAGGCAGATGTAAGTAGAAGAATCAGTCTGATGAGCTGTGCTGTATTCTTGGAAGTTTAATCTACAGCAATATTTAAATGAATTGAAAGAGTGAAAAACGGTGATTGAAAGCCCAGCCAAGAGGTCAACTCCATGAGAGCAGGTACTTAGCTCAATACTGTATCTCCAGGTTCTAGAACATAGCTGGTGCTCAGTACGTGTTTGTTGGATGAATGTAGGATGGCTGAATGAATTAGCATGGGGACATCCAGGTAGAAAAGTGTAGAAGATAAAGCCTGGACAAAGAGCGCTGCATACAAGTTGGTAACTGAGAGCATGCATTTGCGAGTTGTCCGTAACTAATTGAGTCCGTGCGGGGTGTGTAACATTGTGAAGGAAAGAGAAATGGTGAACTTGATTAACTCCTACAGTTATAGCTAATGTGTAAAAGGGGTGGGGGGGGAACCATGAAGGTAACAAGGAGAAATCAGAAAGGTGCATCAGGAGATTATAAAGGCCACCAGCCACAGGAGGAGAATTTGTGTGTTTCCAGCTTATAAATACTTATTTATAATTTTTAATTTGTTTTTTTTTAAAGCATACTTAGAAGGATTCATGGATTCTAGTTTTCCCAGCATTAAAAATAATTTAAATAGGTGTGTAAGACTTAATGTTGAGGGGATCAAGGTCAAACCAGGCAAATAAAGCATATCCCAGAAGCATGCTAGATGTGGGGAAGTTTCAGGATGGCAGTAACATATTTTGGAATTTAACACACATTGCTTTTAGACTTCTTGTCACTACATCTTTGAGCTAAATATATAAGTTTTAGCATGTTATATATAGTAGTTAAGCAACAGGCTAATTATGTCACAAAAATGTTTACTTTATGAATTCATTTAATGTAGTGCCTCTATTAGTGGCCTCCCCTAGGACATTTTAAGTGATTATATTAAGTTTTACTTCTAGACAATTTTTGTGAAACTTATTTTGCCTGAAGCAGGCAGTTGTTAAAAAAAAACAAAAAAGACATAAGCTCAAAAACAGGCCCTGGTTTCTTACTACTTTATAGCTTCGAAAATCATTCTGAATCCTCTTGACAGACTGTTTACTAGCAGCTAGCAGTAGGATTTAACATTAAATTTTCATTTTGATTAACTTGACTGCAATTGTTTCTTGGCTGCCTCTTTAGAGCCCACTGCGGAATAAAATTAAAACAGTTGTATGATATAACCGTTTAGTTGCGGAAAACGACATTTTTGTTTTTTCCCTGAATGGTGGTGTGTTTTCCCTCTGACTTTCCTGCATACACCCCGTGGCTCTGTCTTCTCCCTTCTCCGATCCAGCTTTTATAGTGTTGCCAGGTTAATTTTCCTAAAGCGGAGCTTTGGCCGTTCTCTTATCCCAGCCCCTTCTCTGACTCCCCACTGCCCACCTCCTTTCTGAGCCCAGCTCATCTATGAAGGAAGGACGAGCCCCAAAACTATGTATTCCTCTTGACATTTTCTTGGTCTTCTCTGCTAAAGTCCCCGTCTCTACTCCAGATTTCTTGTTTCTCTTGCGTAGCACACAGCCTGTCCTACCTTACATAAAATTACGTGTGAATACATCTCACCAAGAGAATGTCAGCTTCTCGAATGCACAGACCACCCTGTCTTTACATTTTGGCCCACTCTTCCAGTGTTTTGTGCATGAAAGAGCCTCCATAAATAAATGTTTGACAGTCATCTGATCGTACACATTAAATATGTGCAGTTCTTTGTATATGAGTTATTCCTCAAGCTGTGTTTAGAAAAAGCTAAACAAATAAGCAGAGACATGTTTGTTGGGTAAATGAATGAAAAATATCTCAAAATGATAACCGTGCAAAACTCTTCTTTCTTATATACCGTAGTCCTGATTCTCTTACCCTTCACTTTTTCCATTTCCCGTAGCACCTTTCACTTTCTAATGAATTCATAATTTAATTATTCATTTTTGTTGCTGATACCGTCTCCCTTCTTCCTTGGATCGTAAGCATCCTGGATGGCAGGGATCTCTGTTTGTTCACAAATGTTTCCCAGGTGCTGGGAACAGTGCCTGTCATACTGATTGAGTGAATGAGTGAGACTTGGAGCTGAGGGTCAGTTTCTCCCTGTTTTTTGGATTATCGTTGGCAGTTTTCAAGGCAAAAGTCCATGTGGTGTGGAAAGAACAGGGAGAGAGGTAGAGGAACCCCAAAGTCCGTTTCTGCTACAAAGTGATAGGCAAGTTTCCTGACTTGCTCTGAAGGTCATTTCCTCACCTGTAAGGGGATAACACAACCTGAATTAGAGTGTTAATTCTAGGGAGAAAAAGCTTACAGTAAATGAGATTAATAGCCGATGTTTCCTAACCACTCCTAACATAATGTGATAGATTTGGTGCTACACATTTTCCACGTCTGTCACTGTGTATCTTCACAACCACTCTGAAGTAGGAGGGTTTCTACCCAAGACCACAGAGTGGTGAGGAGCAGAGCTTTGACTAGACCAGATCTGTTGGGCTTCAAGGCCTGTGCTTATAATGCCTGCCTGATGTCTGTGTGCCCTTCCCACCTGCCTGCCTCCTGGTGGGGAGCCTTAAGGGTGGCTGTACGATGGCTCCTATGGAGCAGCAATTCCAGATCTTTCTTTCCTGCCCTAACATGCTTGAGGGGGACACAACGGGCTCATAAGTACCAGCAGTCTCCTCGAGAGCTGTCTTTACGAACCTGGTCCCCCAGAGTGAGAGGGGCAGGGGAATCTGGTTTGGAAAGTTCCCCCTGGTGAATTGGACCTTCTCATTCGAATCTACTAGGATACCTCTGTTTCCAGATCTGTTTCTTCTTCTCCCATCCCATTTGTATCTCCTGCAACAACAATAGAGTATTCTTGTATGAAGACTTTTTTTAAAGACTGTGGCCTTACTGGATTGGAAACAAATTTGATGGCTTATGATTGTGGTACCAAATTGATCATTACAGCCTCCTCTACTTTTTTTTTTATTATAGAAGCCGTGAAACTTTTAAGAATTTTTAAGTGAGCTATAAATTCCATTTCAAAACATACAATTATATCACTGACTCTTGATTATTACAATATAATAAGCATCAAAAATAAAAAAGGCTAATTATTTTCTGTATAAAGAAATTAGCCTTTTCAGGCATTATCTGAGCACTTAGAATTACTAAACCAGGATTCATGAGATGGATCATTTCAGCGTCTTAAAAAATGTCTTTTAAGTTTCAGGGGATGGATTTTTCTTTTGAAATAACTTGTCATTGGTTCAAATGCTAAAAATGTACCTCAGAAGATATCAAAATGAAAAATAATTTCATTTGCATTCTATAAAGCTTCATTATTTTTAATTGATTGGGAAGTTTGGTAGGGGGCCAGAGAGAACTGGCAAAACACACAAAATTTACAAGGAGATTCTGGCATCTAATTTCAACCAGTATTTCAACAGAGAGAGAGGTTTATTATGTATTTTGGTGGTTGTATTTTAACGATTAAGAGCATAAGCTTTAGAATCAGTCTGACCTAGCCCCGAATCCTCACTTTTCTGCTTATTAAATCTGTGAGCTTAGACATATCACTTAACATTCTGAATCTTGATTTTTTTCCCACCTGTAGAGAGGGGACAATGTCTACCTCATAATATTATTGTATCACATGAAATAATATGTGCAAAGCATCTAAATAGTGCCTAACACTTTGTTGGCACTTAATAACTTTTAGTATCCTTGCGAACAGTCATTGAGATAAGATGAGGTTTTGAAAATCTCTTTGCAGATAAGTGGGAAACATTTTTATGGAATCCTGTGTACAATTGTCAGCTTGTTGTGGAATGCCTTCTTACTGCTAATTCAGAAGCAAACTTATGTCATATTAGGATGAACTGCCAAGTTCCGTAATAGTGCAGTTTTAACCCATGAAATTTCACTGCAGAGTGTGGAGTAAGCAGATGCTAATTCTAAGTTTCTCCTATAAAATTATCTTTTCTAGGAGAATGCATAGAAGGGCTGCGGGAAAATGACTACCTTCTGATTCATTCGTGCCGTCAGTGGACCACTATCACTGCCCACAGCCTGGAGGAGGGGCACTACGTCATTGGGCCAAAGATAGAGATTCCGGTACATTATGCAGGTAAAACTTCTCTCGAGGGGCAAGAAAAGGCAGAAGAAGCGCACTTGCATATGCTAACTTTTTCCTCCACAGTGAGAAAATAGGACTTGTCTATAAACTGGAATATAATGACATAGAAAAAGAAGAATCAAACACTTTTTGTGGTGACTTTATCAGTGAAAGCTCAGTTTCATTTTGTCCTAAGTACTTCTAATCAACGCATGTAGTCACATGTGGATTCTTATCAGCTATTTATAAAATGAAAATTTTACAAATACAAAGAACGTCTCCGTGGTCTTGGGATGGCAGTCAATATGTGTAGACAGCCTCTGAGCTCCGGTGTCTCTGAATAACCCTGGGTACAACTTAAATGTTGCTTTTGTGACTGGCTTTACAAAAGCCTTTCAAAGGCTTTACAAGACTGCCTTTTTGTTTTTGAGTGAAACCTCTACAATGCCCAGAGAGTTGCCTATCAGGAAAAGGGACTTTGCTGTAGTTCCATTGTCTAGAATGGCAGCAAATGGTAAGTGTTCAATATTTATTGAGTAAATGAATAGTTTGGCCCCTTCTTTTGTTCCTAGGAGTCTTCCAGTTGCCCGTATGACCTCGGGATCACTCAGCTTCTCAGATACTCCTATTAAAAAAAAATTATAAGAAAGAATTTCTCTAGCCTGAAACTTTGTCCCCTAGAACTTTATTTCCTGGCCATAAGAGTAGCCTTCATGAAAAAAGGAGGAATAGGTAGCAGCAGAAAGTACTACGACTGTGAAATTTGGAGCCAGGCCAAAGGGACAGAGACAAGACCAACCCTGCATCCTGTCCACTCTCTCCTGCCAAGGGGTCCCACTACAGGTGGGATCCGTGCTGTCTCTAGGAAGCCCAAACTCCTGGTCTTTTGTGGAAAACTGAAAAGGAAGGTATAAGATTGTGCTTCATCACATATACAGTTTGATCTAATGTGCACGTTCTTCTCATAGTAGATTGAGTTTTAGTCTTTCCCCTGACCGCACTGTGAGTAGCCCATCAAAGCAGTGTTCCCCAAGGAATGCTTGCATTTGGTCCTTGACTCAAATCTCCTTAGAGACCCCAAACTGCCACCAGACTCCTTGGCTTGTTTCTCAAAGCCCTCAGGGGCTGGGTCTAATCTGCTTCTCCAAACTTACCTTTTCTACTCGGAAGAGGGAACCTTCCATCCAGCTAGATTGGTCCCCTCACTATTTCCTGGACATACCGGGTACTTTTCCATTTACACCATTCCTCAGCCAGAGTT